GGTCCGTAGCAATGTCAAAGGTCATGTTGACAGTTTTTTCGACTCTCGTGGGGTCGTGTGTCGTGAGTACGCACCATAAGGCCAAACCATCGCAAATGAGTACTACCAGGAGGTCCTTTGTCGTCTTTCCGATACAGTGCGACGCAAATGACCGGATCTGTGGTCGATCAAAACTTGGCAGCTCCATCGTGGTAACGCATCCGCACATTCTGCGCATCTGATTCGGGCTTTCGTCGCCAAACACAATACTCCTGTGGTTCGTCACACTCCGTACTCTCTCCACATGGCTCCGTGTAACCTTTGGCTATTTCTCAAGCTGAAAATGCCGCTAAAAGAAACTCAAATTTAGTTGAGAGAAGGCATCATGCGAAATGCGACAGACCGGCTGATAACCATTCCAAAAAATGCGTTCCAGCAGTGTTTCCAGCAATGGCAGGAACGCTGGGAGAAGTGTATACATTACCAAGGAGACTACTTTGAAGGGGATTAGGGTTTTGTACCTCAAAGTCAATAGATTTATTTTTGTCGACCAAAGGTCCGATACTTTTTGACCAGACCTTGTATAAATGATACAAAGAAATTTTTTAAAACTATACAGTAATTTTAAACTATAATTGTGTAATTAGGATTTCATGTTTCATAATATTTATATTCAATTTCTAATGTTAGAGAGATTTAAAAACAAGGATGATTTGAAAAAATTGCTATATATATTACTTATGAATGCAGTCTTTTTTATATTCACAAATCCAGTGTCGTCATAAATTTACTCAAAATGAAATACATTTAAAGCTGCATAGCAATTTCAAAATTATTCAAATATATACTTTGCATTTGAATAAAATGTCAAATATATATAAAAATAGTATACTTCCTTTTTATTTGCATTTGAAGAATAATTATTGAATGGCTATACACAAATATACAAATTATATGTATATTTTAAATATAAGGAATCATTATTCTAAGCCACTCCTAAAATAGAATCTTATGGAAATTTTAATTAATGACTTAGAAATAATCTTAAATAAACAATTATATTAATTATATATATATATTATTTTTCTGCCACCTGATTTAAATACTTGTACTCACATGACTAAAAATACTTATGGAAATCTAAAATCGTACATTTCAATTTATAGGTAAATTGTGAATAATACAGTAGAATCTTGTTTTAACAGATTGGATGATTTTCAATGATCTGAGCAGTGTTCTGAGAATTTGTTATATTGTAAACAATGGATTTTCCACCCACCAGGGAAATATCCATTGTTTAATCCCTTACATATAAGAATTACCTGTACTTGAAATTATTCAGTCTCTTAAGATATCTATTCTCCATTCTATAGAAACATATATGTTACAAGATCATGTATTATGCTGTATGTGTATACGACAAAGCTAATGGAAACAGTATACTGTGAGCACAGAAAGAAGCAAATTATATGTGCTCATTAGCACTTCATTTGTCTTCAATTTGTTAAAAAATTCATCCATCTTGGTTTGTTTTGATGCTGCTTTGTTGTATTCAATAGGCAGAAAATGCTTGATATTTGCAATATATCGTGTACAGTACAGCCTGTTCATTTATGCTGAAACTCATCAGGAGGGTCTTCACAACTTGGAGAGACTCAATGGTCTTGCTAAATTTCGGCACTACCTTTGAATCCATGCCAGAATGTTTATCATGTAGCTGCTTCTTAATTGTATCAGTCTGTTGACTCTTTGTACAGTTTGAAAAAAGGGGTGCAATTAAACTCTAAAATTACTGAAAACTAAATATCAGATAATATATCATTATGAATAGAAAAGATTTTTTCCTGTTTATCAGAGAAGTGTTTATTTCAAGCTCTATAATCTAGTGTAGTTTTATTAATACAGTAGAGTCCCGAAAACTCTGTCTAATGTGGACTGAAGAGTGGCTAAGTTTGTGAAAATGCCGGGTTATTGGGAATGGGGTTAAAAAAGAATAAGTAAGAGTGTTTCCTCAGAAAATACTGTACTGTACTTGTATGTATTGTTTGCTTGAAAATACAACAGAGAATAAAGTGCCCAAATACCCTTAAACAAAAGAAAAGTACATACTTAATGAAAACATAGAGCTTTTACTACATGAAAATGAAAATTAATGAATACACAGTGTACAGTAATTTACCTGATAAGACAGACCTCAGAAAAATACTTTAAGAGGCATAAAGCTATCTATAATGAAAACTAACTAGGGGTTTTTTTGCCCTGCCAGGATATGGCCGAGTTATCCAGACTGCCAGGTTATCGAGTGCCGAGTTTTTGGGACTCTACTGTATAAACATCTGAAATTGTTTATTGATCTCATGCTAATATTCAACTATTACTGTATCAAATATTCACTAAAATTTGTTATAACACCAATTGCAGTTTTTATGTAATTACAACAGTTAAGATTTTATTAATTTCTTCAAATGAAAATGACTTTGAAATTATAAATCTTCATTGTAGTCATTTACCTTAATACATTTTATCTGAATTTAAATATTAAATATGTTAACATATTTTTGCTGCATTATTAAATTGGAAAGTTATTTTTAATTAATACTACTAAAAACAAAAAGTCATAAAATGTTCAGTTTATCATCCTCTTTCATTGTATTTTTTAAAATNAACCCCATAATCCCCTGTAAGTCTGAGTGAACCGATGAGAAAGTCTATCTAATGACCAAATAAGGCAATGATTTTTTCTAAGGGGGTGAGATGTAGTCTGACATGAGTCACCTCATATCAATAAATCGGAGTTTGACAAATTTATGATGGGAAGATGTCAATTATTGGAAGGAAAGGATGACGATAACATAAACACAGCTATAAGCAAGTCGAGCTGGCGATTGCATCAGATTTTCTTCCTCCATGATTCCCCCTCCAAGATAAGTATAAAAAGGGGTCAAACTTGCACCTCCGGGCGGACAGCTGAAGTGGACCCCACCAATTCAACACCCTCAGTGGACATCTCCATGCAGACCTCTACAGTCGGAGATCAACAGATCATACGCCCACATCAGACATAGCTGAGCGGACAGCAAGGGACACCAGCTGTATAAAAATGCATATGTATATGAGTAATCATTTTGTGAAATATATAGAAGTTTACAATTTGTTGACTGGCTAAACATATTTAGTAAAATGTACAACCGTTATGGGATATTGGTTATTGCACAGCTATAATAAATCAAATTTTTGTCACAAAGAACAGACATCCAAAACATTTTGTAAACTATGACATGGGTGCCTTTAGTAGCATGTACAATATCTTGCCAAAAGTTTTGTATCCTGTTTTAGGAGACTGAACCCATTCTTTTGATTTAGTGTTTTAACTCGAAGCAAAGAAAATTAATGACATTGCAATCTGTTTTTTTTTAAGTAATTTACAAAAAAAAATTCAGAGATATGGAATTAGGAAATGAGAAGACAATGGAATACCCTAGCTATTTTCCAGGAAACTTATTTAAGAATTTGAGCATGTATAATAACCAGTGTTGTGGTGCTTCATCCTGCTGGAAAAAACACCAGGTTGCATTTTTCCAAATGAGGAATACCAAACAATTTTTTTAGCATATCTAAGTAATAACTTTTTCTTTTACAGAGAGAAATTTTATTCAAACATTGTAGAATGAAGCTTTGAGTTGATGTATTAATACAAAAAACTGTTTTGCAATATTTATTCTGTTTAATTCTTTCATTAAACATCTTAATCCAGTCAATAAATTATGGATTCCCTATATAGTTCTTTCATAATTTATCAGTTTGTTTTACTAAACATAAAAGTAATTTATAGCGTTACTTTTAACAGACATTTCATTTACTTTTATTTATAATAGTATAATTTGAAGTTTTAATGAGTAAAATTGTTCAATATTTTAATAATTTTAATCTGTTATTTTAGTGACTGTGATTTTTTTTTTAGCATTTCTGGATTGGAAACAATTCAATTTGGCAAGGATTTTTAATGCATTTTGCAACTAGCTTTATATCTATGTTCACCAACTTGCCTTTTATTGTCAAGTTTTCGGTTGACAACAAAAAAGAAGCATATATAAGAAGAAATATTGCAATGTAAAGGAAAAGTCAGTTGATATCACTAGAATATGATTTAAAAGTAAATATTTGGAAGAATTCAACAGATACAATACAAAATCTGAAATTGAACAATTTTTCTCTACATTTTTATATTGGCTAAATTATTAGAACATTCTTTCATTTTAATATAATGTACAAAAGATCAAAACAAATCATGGAAGAATTAGAAACACACTGGATATAAGATAACTTATATATGTAATGTGAATACAACTATTAAACTGATTAAAAATGATTCAAAATGAAGGTCATTGTATCTGACTATTTTTGTCCATAATGTTAATATTGTCAGATTTGTTATTGATCATAAAATGAATATATTTTTGAATTAATACAAAGATAGCTGCTGAATAAATAATTATTCCTGAATGTTAATATATGCAAAACAAAACTAAAAAATGCTTCTATTTATTTAAAGAAGAAAGTGAATACATTTTAATATGATATAAACCAAACTTCTCTAATATATCATAAAAATTTACATTTATAAATATTATTAAAATCAGAATTTTTAAGTTTAATGTTTAACATTTTGTGAAACTTAGACAAGAAACTTAAAAAGGAAGTATAGAAAGAAGCAATATTGTAAGAAAAATTTTTTTTTGATGTTGATATAAATTGAAAAGCATTTTTTTGATGGTAATCATTTGTCATCTAAATTACTCTTTTTTGTTTGTTGAAAAATATTCTTAGATTCTATTGAAACAAACATTTCTTCATGTACTGTAATTAAATAATAAGAAAAAGTATACTATAAATCTATATTTATTAATAAATTTGAGTGATATGATTTTGATATGTTGATGTAAATCAATATTTTCTATCACAGAATATTAGTTTCAACTTTTTGTAAACATATAATTATATATTTCTTAAAATTAATATAGGTTGGGATAAGTTAACTTACAGTTATCATGGTGATGATGGATGTATATTTTGTTCAAGTGGAGCAGGACAACCATATGGCCCTACATTTACAACTGGAGATGTTATTGGCTGTGGTGTTAATTTTTTAGATAACACTTGCTTCTTTACAAAAAATGGTCATAATTTAGGATTAGCTTTTAAGGATATTCAAGTAAAAAGGATCTTTTTTTTTATAATCTGAAATTAATGAAGTTATTTAAAAAATTGTTTTATTGTAAATTTCAGGGCAATTTATATCCAACAATTGGTTTACAAACACCAGGTCAGATTATAGATACAAATTTTGGACAACATCAATTTTTATATGATATTACCGATATGATTCAGGTAATTTATCATAGTTTTTAAATCTTTTTATGAAGGTGATTCTGAAATAATAATACTAGAAAAGTCAAGATGATTCAATATTAAAATTAATGTATAAATTAAGGGCACAGACAAATGTAAAAACTTGTATAACTTGATAATTAGGAATTATTCCATATTATAATTGAGCCATGAAAGTGATTTAAATCCATTTAAAAAAAATTGAGTTAATGATAACATTAGTTACAATTCTGTGATATTTTTATTTTTTAACAATTTGCAGTCAAGATATTCAAAATTGCCATGAAAAATCATGGCAATTTTGTAAAATACATAATTAATACATATTTTGTTAATACATAATTATCAGTTACCAATATTTTTTTGAATCAATACAAATGCAAACCTTTAAATATTTTGATTTAAAAATAAATGGACTTAAACCACTTTCATTTGCAATGGCTGTGTTATTAGACATGTCACTTTTGCTGTAATTTAATATTTTGTGTGTTTCAGAGTACCTAACTAATGGGGGGTCTTATACAGTTTTTTACATTATTGTATAAATTGTGTAAAATATTTTGAGGCTTCTCTAATCGCATATTAGAAAACTTTCAATAATTTACATCATACATAGAAATAATTTGTTAAATGAGAATATTTTGTTTGTTTCATAATTTTCTAAAATTCAAATAAAAGAAAATATGGAATAATGACACTAAATATTTAAATTTGTTTTAAATTAGTCAAATTAAAAAATTAACCAAAACATTGCATAATTTGTTTTAATTTAATAAGCTCTTAATTACAAATTGTGTTAAATCATTTCAAGTAAATATAAATGCATTAATAATTCCTTGTTTTTTTAGTTTATAAGCTAGAATTTTTAACATAATATAAAATCAGTTTATAAATTTTTATTTTCTTAATTTCTTAATATGAGAATACAGAAAAAAAAGTATAGCTTTTTTTTTACCATTTTTATTTATTTTAAAAATTGAAAATAAATGTTTATAGTTATATTTTTAAATTTTTATTACATTTTATAAATATACTAGTTTTACTTTATTATATGTAATTCAAATGAACTAAATAGAAACTCATCATATATTCATGTGATAATGGAATAGTTTATTAACAGAATCACCTGCTTCATTATTCCTTTAGTGAATAAATGATGTCTACCAATGTTCGAATATACACTTTGGTCTTTTTTTATTAAATCTAAAATTAAAAAATATTCAAATGTTCTTTCTTTTTTGATTACTAAATCATTCATTTAACATTTATTTTGTTTCTTTTTTATTAACATTTGTTAACTTCTTTTTGCACACTTAGAAGATTAAATGGGGGAGAGAAGAAAAGAAATTACTAATATTAAAATGATTACTTCAGGAAGCCAAATCCTTAATTGAATAATAAAATAAATTTGTCCTGATCCAGGACAACTTTAGTTTATAATTTATATAAAACGATTATAAATGCCATTGCTCTTTAGGTTAAAATTTAACTTGTTTAACTAAAATTTGAATTGTTTTACAATTTTTCAACAAATCAAATAATATTTAAACATTTGCATTGAAACATGAAGTAGTTGAAGAAAAGAAATATTTTAAATATGCTAGTTTTTAAATTATAGATGCATAATAAGTCTGCTTTAAAATATGAAAGTGGCTAAATAAAAAATATTATGCTGAATATCAAAACTTAAGTTTTGAATTAGTATCTGATTAGTTAGTTATTGTGTGAAATTAACTAATTTTTTCCAATTTAAACGCGGAATGACTGATAGATTTTTATTGTTTAATTGATTGTCTTGCTACCTATAACCTAAAACTTTCAATGCTATATTTGTTTAAGGAAAGAGTGAAGTACAGAATTTTTTGTCATGTCCTTTTGACATTGAATAATCTTATTTTACTTTATATTATTAGTTCTAGACTATATATTGTTACATTTGTTTGATACAGGGAATGAAGAAAAAGTTCAAAGGAACAGTGGAAAACTTTCCAGTAAGTGAAAATAAAGAAGTATGGCATATATTGCTTCAGAGGTATGCTAACCTCAAATTTCAATAATAATAAAATATCCTGTTTTTTCAGTATTTTATTAATACTGAAATTTTGAAATATTTTTTTCTCTGTTAGCATTGTACAATCGTATCTTGTACACCATGGTTACTGTAACACAGCACAAGTCTTTGCCAAGAGTACACAACAAAAGATAGATGAAGATCTCTCATCAATAAAGAAACGTAAAAGTAAATATTTGTTTTAATAACTAATGTAAATTTATACATGTCAAGAAATGACATATGAAATAGTCTTTATAAATTTCATTTCAGAACTACAAGAATTGTTACTAAATGGTCATGTAGGAAATGCTATAGAAATGACCAAAGAATTGTATCCAGTTCTGTTTGAGAAAGACATAAATCTTCAGTTTATGCTTGAGTGTCAACATTTCATTGAAGTATTGAAAAATACAAGCAATACGAATAGAAAATTACCAATTGTTCAACAAAATAGTTGTTCTGTTAATAACATTAAGAGAACCAATTGTACAGAATCAAAATTCTTCACAAATTCCAATAAAAAACTGCCAAAAGTAGAAAATGATATAAAAAATTCATTAAATACTAATAATAGTTTAAATTATCGAACAAATTTAGAATCAACCAATTCATCCTGGTTTTCCAGTAATTACTTAAATAGTTCAAATAATTTGCCTGTGATTTTACCTACATCTATATTTAATACAATTTCTAATATTCCAAGACATGAGTCATATAAAAACATGACAGAAATAACAAATTCAGGTATTATTTTGTTTTTTTAAGAAATATCTTTATATACTCATTACTTTTCATACGTATTTTATTATATAATTTTAGAGTATAAAGGCAGTCAAGTAAATACAGAAAAGATGCTACAGTTGGGAAGAAAACTTAATACTATGAATAATTGGATGAAATCAATTCCAGGGTATAATGAAATAAACAATGATATGTTACAGGTCTGTTTTGTTTTTAAAATTAATAAATAATTGCTCATTAACATTGAGAAATATACAAATTAATTTTTAGTACAAAATTACAATGTGATTATATATTTTTAGGATGTATTTAGTTTGGTTGCATATGCTGATCCAGTAAATAGTCCATTAGGATATCTTCTTCATCAGTCTGAAAGAGAGATTGTCTGTGATAAAGTAAATAGTGCAATATTAGGTAAATAATGTTTTAATTATCATTATTAACATAATTATTGCTTTTTGTACATACAGTATCTATCAAAAGAATTTATATTTTCTTGATGTATTATTTTCTTGAAATATTTATAAAAATATTAACAATGTGCAACTTATATAATTACCTTTGATATATTTTTGTTATCTTACTAAGTTGTTCCAACTTTTGATAACTGGAGCAAGTTACTATCAACAATTTTTATTTAGTTAAATTTTAAAATATGCTGGTAGTAATTTTTTCAGTTTCCACTAGAAAAATTTTGCAAATTGTCTTTTAGAAGAAACGTATACTTTGTTATAATTATTTCATTGTTTTAAGCCAGAAAAAGTTGAATTATAATTAATGACCTCATGCAGTTTATTATAATAGTAATCATCTTTATTAGCAAAACAGGAATTGTCCCTGTTGCAGGGGGTTATACAAAGTGGTATTATAAATTTTTATATTATTTACACAATAAATAGAATATTAGTATTGAACAATTTGATAACTGCAGTAATATATTATTATACAATAATAATCAAGTTATACGAAATTGGTAATATTTAGTATACTGGCATAGATTTACAACATTTTTGTAATTTTAATGAAAAAGTTATACAGAATGTAGAGAGATTTTTTATTCAGTTTATTTATAGTATTTGTATAATCTTGAGATGATTCGTTTTGGATTATTCGAGAGATGTTGAAAGAATCACGTACATTCGAAAGTCTTTGACATTTTTTAAATAAGTGGTCAATTGAAAAGTCATTGGTTTTGCACCATGGGCAATGATTGTTTGACAAGTCAATATAAATATTATTAATATATCGAGTATTTATTTAAACATAATTGTGAAATTAACCTTTTCACATTGAAGTTAATTGGTTTTATCATGTAAGGTTGTGAAGAAGGAATTTGTAATATTTTTAAGTACCAAGGATGATAAGTATTTTGATTTAAACTATTTTGATCCATATTTATAGAATGAGCGATAGCTGATTCCATTAACATAGTATATCCAAACTTCCAATCTTGAATATTATCTTTGAATAATAAGTCTGATATTCCAAAAGAATTTAGTATATTATTTAGTTTAGATTGCCAGAGGTGTATTGTGGTTGATTTTTTACTACATTTGATTAATTCCTGATGTAGAAAGATAATATTACTGTCACATTTGAATTTTAAATGATAGTGAATTTTAATGATTTGTTTTAAAAACAAGAGATAAGAGCATATACAGTTGGTTTCATGGCAAATTGCATAACCTGGGACAGTCCTTTCCAGTTGGAGTAATTTGCGGAGAAAGTAAATGTGGAAAGTTTCTAATTTATATACATAATCGAGACCCCAGATTGGGTGGGGATGTGTAATATATGATTGGATTAATAATTGAGTTATATAATTTCATATGAATAGATAAGTTGGAGATTTTTAAATTAGAAAATAAGTTTAATAAATTATCTATAGCAAGTTTTACTTTGTTGTTTAAGTATGAAATATGTGCTTTAAACGTATGATTACAATCAAAAACAACACCCAGAAATTGATTTCATTTACACCTGTAGCAACTGCTTGTCCAGATATATCATTGATTCTTTTTTGGAGATTTTACTATTATTGCAGAATATAAGTACTTTAGTTTCAGTAGGGTTTATTGTTAAATGAATTGAACTGAGGTAAGAGCTTAAGTGATTAATTTTCCTTTGTAATGTTACTTTTGTCAGAGCAAAGATTGGTAGATCATCTGCAAATAACACATAGTGAAAGGTCCTATTATTTAGTTCTATTCCATCAGAGCAATCTTGGAAGATTTGGTCGATTTCATATAAATAAAAATTGAATAGGTATGGTGAAAGAGGATCACCTTGAAGTATTCCACATGTTAATGTTAGTGATGATGAAGTGGATTTGCCCTGTTTAATTTTTGCATTATAAATTGAGAATAATTTAGATACTGTAGTTGCAAATTGATTACCAGCTCCTGTCATTTTTAATTTATATACCAGTAGCAGAACAAAGACAGAGTCGAATGCTTTTTGAATACCTATGAATGCAACATATACTTTCCGATGTTTTTTACTCAGATAAAGTTGTATTATGTATGATAATAAAAAAATAAAGCGGATTCTGTTCCTTTATTTTTGAAGAAGGCATATTGAAATTTCACTTAGATCCATTAATTTGGTCCAGTATTGAAATCTTGTATCTAGTAATGAGGTAAAACATTTCCTTAAGGTTGATAATAATGCTATCGGTCTGTAGTTATTTGGAGAAAGTTTATCACCTTTTTTATTTATCATTGTAAGGATTACTGAATTCCAGGAATCTGGGTAATTGATTGTTTTATACATGGAATTGAAAAGGTGTAACAATTTCACTCTTGCTTGAGATGATAATATTTGTGAGAATTCGGACGCAAGTGTAAATTTTCACACATTGGTATAGTTTATTTTTATCATTATTTCCTTTTTCTTTTCCCCTCTCATGAAGTAAAGAGGAGACCTTTTGATCCCTCAGTGTACTGCGTCACCTTGAAGGTGACTTTAATCTTCTGAAGAAGGACTCCCCTCACACCAGGGGATCGTTTAAGTCTAATGTAAATATAAGGTGCAGATAAGTAGCCAATTAATGGTGACAACCACCTGTTACTGTATAGAGAGTAACCAAAAGGTCACCGAGGATAAAACATAACCCCATAATCCCCTGTAAGTCTGAGTGAACCGATGAGAAAGTCTATCTAATGACCAAATAAGGCAATGATTTTTTCTAAGGGGGTGAGATGTAGTCTGACATGAGTCACCTCATATCAATAAATCGGAGTTTGACAAATTTATGATGGGAAGATGTCAATTATTGGAAGGAAAGGATGACGATAACATAAACACAGCTATAAGCAAGTCGAGCTGGCGATTGCATCAGATTTTCTTCCTCCATGATTCCCCCTCCAAGATAAGTATAAAAAGGGGTCAAACTTGCACCTCCGGGCGGACAGCTGAAGTGGACCCCACCAATTCAACACCCTCAGTGGACATCTCCATGCAGACCTCTACAGTCGGAGATCAACAGAGCATACGCCCACATCAGACATAGCTGAGCGGACAGCAAGGGACACCAGCTCCACACTGCCATACTGTCCATTGCTCCATATCGCCATCCACGGAAACTACGATTAGGAACCTCCGGTCCCAGTGTGTCCTACCAATGCCCTATACGACGAGATCGAATCCTAAGAGGTAAACCCTTGACCGAAATTTGTCTCTCTCTCCAACACGTCCTTCTTAGAGAGGTCTCTCTCATTCTTTAGTTTAGGATAGAACGTAGATATAGAATAGAAACCTTTTATTATTTATAAGTGTGTCATTTATGCTTTTTCCTTTTGATATGTATAATCTCTTAGTTGTTTATTAAATGTGTTGTTATTGTTTAATCTGTGTAGTTATTCGGACACCTCGTCATGACCTCACTACCCCTCCCACTCGATTTGCCCTCCTAAGCCATCCGACAATCCGAGAGCAGGTTTTACCAACCCATGCAGATTAAGTGGTCATTAGGGATCATCCCTGTGGCCCCCTGCTATTTCACATATTTTTAAGACTCTGGATGGGATAAGATCACTTCCTGGTGATGTGTTGTTGCGAGTTTTATTTATAGTATCTTTGAGTTCTTTGATTGTAAAGTTTGAGCTAAGACATTCATTATTGAAGTCATAATTAAGCGTTAATGTAGGTATAACTTGAGTAACTGGAAAACGTTAGTAAAATTTTTTCCATGTTTCATAACTTGTTATCATCACATAAGTTAATTTTAAATCGAAATTTTTGTATTATTGACCAAAATGTTTTACTATCATTACTAGTTTTTAATAGTGTTGTTTCAAGTTTTGTAAGATATTTTTTTTCTTTTTTGCTTTAATTAAGTTATTATAAGTTATCTCGCGTTTCCTATAGTTATTAAGATTTAACTTATTTGAATCTTCACGAAATATTTTTAATTTTGTTTGCTTCATCTTTTTCATCTTGTAGCAATCTTTGTCAAACCATGGTTTTTAAAATTTATTTTGAATTAGTCTTATCATTTTTGATTTGTATATAATCATTCATTATTTGGGTTATTTGTTTATATATTATATCAGAGTTTAGATTAGTTATTTCTGGGATATTGCTGAATCTGTCCTCGATCTCACTAGCATAATTTAACATTTTGTAATAAATTCTAGTAAGTTATTACATTCATTGTTTAAAGAATATTGTGAAGATAGTAGGAATTTGATATCATTGGAAAATGATCCGATGCATCATGAGAAATCATAGCAAACTCCAAACAACAATCCAGCATGTACTTGGAACATATTGTTAAGTCTATAGTAGAACTGCCATTATGCTCTCAACACATGTAAATTCTGCTGGGTAATCCATTTTAATGCATCCATTTAAAATATATAATTTGTAATCTTTTGTTAATTTTATTAAGTTTATTCCTAGTTTATTAGTAGTATTATCTTTGGATTGTCTGATATTTTGTATTTGATGATTAGGACCATTATAATATGAATCTGTCATCTCAGCAATTCATGCATTGAAATCTCCCAGTAAAAGAATATATGGAGTAGAATGCTGCCAAAGTTCCAGTGTTTTAAATATTTTGTTAAGTTTTGTCAGGCAATTGGGAGGAATATAGGTAATCATTACTATTATTTGTTGATAGTCTTTGTTTTCAAATATTGGTTTATTCATTGAAAGTAAAAGTAGAATAAAGTTGTCAGATTTTTTGATTTGTTGTATTTTGCAAAATTGTTTTTTAATAAGATACATAATCCATCACTTGGATGACCGGGTCCAGAAGGTTTAATTGCTGGAACTGTTATTGTTATGTATTTATTGAAGAACATTGAGTTATAAAATGAATCTGATGTAATCCAAGTTTTGGTTATACCAATTATTTCTGGATAATAATTTAGTTGAAAGAAATTTATTGATAGTAGTTTATTCTTTAA